ATATACCAGGTGTACTAAGTGGTAACACCAAATCAAAGGGAGCATCAATCCATGCAACAATTATGTCACAGTTACTAAGATTTAAATCCAAATGAATGCTTTTAAACTTGGTAGACAATAATGTCTAATATATGCATTGAACTACTTCCGTTTGGCATTCATCGCCAATATTTGTGCCGATTGGAAGTGCCAAGTACCAGGAACTGCTATGTTGAGTACCAGTCACGAGTTTGTACAACCAATCGGACGAAAAACATTGAATGTGTCGAAATTATCTACAGTAAAAAAAGCTAGTCATTTGATCATGTACTCAACAAAGAATGAAACATCACTTACTTCTTCGTTGACTCTATGTGTGTATTTAAGATAGTAGTATCATTCTTTAAAAGTAGTGTATTATCCTACGGAAATTTATTAGATGAAAATAATACGTCGTTTCTGATTGCTTTTACGGTTCTTTGTAGACAGGCAAGGTACGCTCATAGTGAAAAACAGCACGCCTAATAGCGGGTGTGTCCTTCATTAGCCTGTATCACCGCATTGTTGCACCACCGCATAGACTGGGTGTGCCATTTAATGTCGTCAGCGGGAATATTGTTCCACTCCTCCATCAACGCTCGAGTGATTTCAGGTAATTACCGAGCTGATTTTTGCAGCGTCAAACTCATTTCCCTAGGACATCGGCGGTGTGCCCGTGCCCAATTAGGGCGATATGCCCAATGACGTCATGTGTACAGGGTTGTCGCGCTAATACCACTGGATTTTGAACGATTGTGTACGGTTCGGCCACTTATACGGCGATAAGGAAACAACGTTTCTAAACGGTTTCAATAGCTGTATACGACACCTTCCCCAAGAATGATGACAAGTGGAATGCGAGATCTGGGACGGACAGATGTTGACCCATCGAAACGGAGCCACAGATGACGGACCTTCATCACAAAATAACTAAAAAGAAAGAAATCTGCATGTCAAGGCAATAGTAGCATTTCTCTAATAAAATAAAGGGTAAGTTGAATTCATCAAGTAGCAACATTCAATTTAGCTTAAGCTCTAGCAACTTCCAAAGTAAAGCTATGAAAGTGTCAATGTATTCAGAATGAAAAAAGCAACGTTTAAAGCGTCAAAGCATAAAAATCTCCTAATGAAAGGTAATAGAAAATGACGAGAACTAACCCTGCAGTCTTAAACCTGAACATCACCAAGCTTCTATATTTTCACCAGACGACATATATATGGCATGTCACCTTGAGAGACACTTGTCTATCCTTATTTAGCCATAGCATGTAGGCAAAGCCACTGTTTGAAAGTTACGAAATGAATAGTGTGTGAAAACCACGGTAGGGAATGATGTGCCTTAAGCTGGTGAATTTACGAAGGTGTAAAAAATGGCAACTACCAGGCGCATTGCAGCAAAAGAGAAAAACGGTAATGAATTATAACCAACGGGTCTCGTGAAACTAGACGTAGCCCAAACAGCTCTGCATATTTTCTACGCATAAAACTGAATGCTTGTTCAGTCCTTAATTCTTAACAGGTTTGCAGACAAATCAAATAACGCGCGTTGGAGGAGACACCAAAGCAGTCATGACCTTATACGCCTCCTCCAAAAGCGGAGGCGAAACCAAGGTTCTGAGTCATGAAACAGTCTGCAACTAAAGGCTGAATTCAAAATGCTTCATTTTTAAAAATCTTAGAATTGGTTTAAATGTGCTTTTATAATCGACAATTAAAAAAATGTGTAAAATCATTTTGATATGGCAATGAGAAACAAGATAATATTCAAATTATGTTTGGACCTATTCTTTAAAGATTATGGGTTTGGTGTTCCAAGCGCGTAAGATATGTGACACCCATCATGATGTGTCTAGTCCAATCCAGTAAAATATACCTTTAGGTCTTCAAAAAACCAAGACAAAAGGGACCTAGTCTGTAATCAAGGTCCACACAGGTTAACGTCAGGTAATGATATTCACCGGTTTTCCGCGCGTAAGTCAAAGGTTTCCGGAAGAAAACTCAGACTAAATGATTGATAAGTCGTCAGGGCATATCTATGTCTAAATCTGAGCTTTCTAGAATAGAATCTGTAACAGCTAATCAACTGTTACATGTAAAATCCATAGACAGGGACGGCTGGGATGTTACTTACTAGGAAAGGGAAATTAGCAATAGCAAAACTAGGGTCGTCACAGTTGTTATTACAGAATTCAGTAGTTAGATTATCATTATTGTCAAAGAGTTAGGTAATGAGGTGACAATTTTTAGTTTACTAATGAGATTAACATATTGTCATACTGAGTCTGTAGACATATCAATCTATAGTTTACCGTTTATTTTTGTATTAAGGGACTGAATTATTCAAATTTGAAACAGAGCATTTATGAAAAAATATAACATTTAAAGTTTTGTTTTATTCAAAGAAGAACTCGGACGTTACCGTAGTGTTTATTGTGGCATTGGAATAAATTGTCTTATGTCAGTATTTAAGTTTGATTAAAATAAATAACCAGATGCATGATATTGGGAAAATCACATAACAAAGGTCATACCTGAAAATTACATCATACAAGTAAATAAGTCATATTCGTGTTGCTAAGTCGAACTTTTTGAAATGTTTTTTAGGACCAACGAAAGACAACTCGTACAGTTTTTGAACACTAAATCTACCAAGGCGGTTGGGTAAGGGATGGGAAAACCATCACAGAACAGCTCATCAACCAACATCCTATCTCCAGGTACGTTTATCCGGGTACCTGTCGTAAAGGATAATCTCATTCTAACGTAACCGTCTGCATTAGGGCAGGAATATACTTAACAATAGTGTTGACCTTAGCGTACCATGTGCTCTTTAGGAACATGTATGCACTTCACGACATCGATGTTCGGAGAAATTTTGTTTAACTGCGAAATACAGGATGGGTGAGTATTTGGTTAACAAAGATCAAGCTAAACAAAATCTGAAGTAATTAAATGAAAATGGCAATGATATTGTACCATGTGCCATAGCTTCAATGAACAATGATAAAAGCTGGAGACTTGTCAAAATTATGGAGATGCTTAAGAAAGAAAAAGGACCTTAGTTCTCGTTCTTTGGTCAATTTTGTCTAAACTTCTCGTCATTTCGGCGCAAAAGACGGGGTTTCTATCCATGTTGTATATCGATAATCAGTTGAAATACACTTTCGATAAGTTAGCTGTTGACCAAAAATGTATTATGCGGACAATTTCATTGTCTATGAAATGTTCAACTGAAATAAACTTATAAACCTGATTGAATTAGGTCAGAAACAAAATGTTGTCTTATAATGGACTGCACACAATGGAGGGTCAAACTCGAAAATAACAAGTAAAAGTATACAAGTAAAATACTTTAGATAACGTAAGTTAAAAGATATCGAACTGACATATAAGTCCTCAGGGTCTAAGAACGACAACTCTTATAGTTGTTGGGAATAATGGCAATAGCATACATTCAGGTGCGTGATCCACATACCTGTCATAAAGGAGAATTCCGTTAAAAGCCTAAGTAACAGCAATGTGCATTAAAAATGATGTTAGACAGAGATGTTTGAAAATATTATTTTATCATGAAATACAGGACGAATTGATCTCCGGTTAAAAAAGAAACAGTAAATCAAATTTTCAAGTAATGTGATCAAAGTCTATTGACTGCAAACAAATGATGATGACAGTGGAAATAATAATGTAACAATGGCTTATTCGTCAAGTAAAAAAACCCACATAGTACTTTAAGAATATATTTAAAGATTGGTCTTCCAGAAGTGGTGTACATAAAGAAGCTATACAAAAGAGGTTCTGGTATACCAGGGACGTATAATGGAGGGCTCTATATACTGCCCCTGGGCATACTGAATGAGAGGCTGAACGGAAGTCAACTGAACTCCGCATTAAATCCATGTTGGTCTCTGTGGAGTATGATATGCTGCTAATCAAGGATCCATGGGTCTGTAAAATAAAAGATGAATTGTATCGTTCAGGCTTAGGATATATCTGGGACGCACAGAATGGACACAATTTCACCTTTTTAATTATTAAGGCAAGATTATTTGACATTTTTAATCAAGAGGGATATAGTTTAATTACAGGTATGTCTAAAGGTATGCTTTACAGAGAATTAAACAGTATAATTTTACTACAATCGTATCTAACAAAATCAGTTAATATCGGTTATATGAAAGAAATTGCTCGACTTAGGCTGTCAGCTCACAAATTAAACATTGAATCTGGACGTTATGTTGGCACTGTTAGAACCAATAGTTTATGTACAAAGTGTAATCTTAATGACATAGAAGACGATCCGCGAGTTTCATTTTGTTTTAGTTTGCACAAGATATACAGATTTAAGACGGAAGTATTTAAAATGTTACTATAGAAATAACCCTAGTGTATAAGCTTGTTCAATTACTTAATACACAGAATATTAAAGAATTATGTTATCTTAGAAAGTATCTGATAGCGGCAAATAAGCGCCGATCAGATATATGACAGTTTGTATGTGTGTATTGTTCATTCTCCTGTGACCAATGTGGCTTTTTGTACATATGTAAATATCCTGTTTATTATATGTTTACACTGATAAGTCGCAAGACTTAAAGTAAATAAAGAACTTGAACTTGACATATATATATATATATATAGAAGTCCAGAGAAAACCTTTATGGGTGTGCTGAAACTTTTCAATATGAAACAACTTANAAAGGCTGTTGTGAAATGAATCGTTCTGTTATATGATGATTTGATTTTTAACGTCATCACACAATTTGATTTCAAAAACATCGATTTACAACAAATCCATACGTTCAACCACAAAATTAGATTAGATTGTTATCTAAGTCCGTGGTTCAACCAATATAGGTATACATGTTCAGATGGTACAAATTTACAAGCTTTATTTTGTACGTCACATTTGATGAATCCGGATAAATCCTCACCGGAAATCCGTTTCAGAATTTATTTGTTCCGAAGCATCTAAATGACACTGATGAGGCGAACGTGTTGACGTTTCAGAAAAGTTGCACCTGCTCCCCTTCTCCAACAATAAGGTGCCAGTTTTAAACTGTGCAGTCAACAACAAAGAAATGTTGCATGCCTAATGACGACATGTTTTTCCCATATTTCATAATTGTTTACATTGTTGCCTCGTTTAGTTTCTCATCAGCTGTTGCCGGTCTATATTCCCCTTCCGATGATGTTGTGATTCTCACGGATGAAAATTTCGCTCCAAATGTGTTTGATGTAAAGAATGCATGGATAATTGAATTCTACAACAGCTGGTGTGGACATTGTAAAAGATTCGCTCCTGTATGGAAGTCGGTAGCTACGGACGTAAAAGGTAATATGAAACGTACCATTCCTTTACCAGGTCGGGGGAAACAGGGATTGACTGGTAGGGATTCCTCTACGGAAGAGGACTTGCTCATGAAATTCCACCAAGACAAATGCACCATACTCACTATATCACCAAAACGCACACGAATTAAACACCAATACACACTCCATGACCACACACTAGAATATGTAACTTCAAACAAATATCTAGGCTTCAAAACAACTTAAAATGGGACAAACACATTAACAACATCACACCAAATGCAAATAAATCACTAGGCTTTCTGAAACGCAACCTAAAAATAAATTCACCACACATAAAAGAACATGCATACAAGGCCATTGTAAGACCAAAACTTGAATACTGCTCTTCAGTTTGGGACCCACATTATACAAACAACATAAACCAATTAGAAAAAGTACAACGAAGAGCAGCATGATATGTCCTAAACAAATACCATAACACAAGCTCAGTCACAGATATGATACACAACTTGCAATGGCCAACACTACACACACGCAGAACAAGAACACACATTATTCTTCTCTACAAAATAATACACCAACTAGTAGCAATACACACTAACAATCTCATCCCGGCAAACACCAGAACACATCAAGGACACTACCTTAGTTACAAACATATATCTACACATCCAAAGACACATACAGACACTCATTTTTTCCATACACCATAACACAGTGGAACCTCCTACCCAAAACAATAATTCAATAATTCAATCAGAAACACTAACAGAATTCAGAACATGCACCACATATAACAATAGAACATATACATAACTAACACTCACTCACTGCTTTTAACCTGATTTTATCTTATAGCAAAAATATAATAAAAAATCATTGTACATAATAATTAATGCACAAGCACAAGACCGACTTTCATAATCGACGGAGGAAGCTTAGAAGATGAAGACTACATTATATAACTTGTGTATATATATATACGCAAACTCACCTATTATACGCCAATATGGATTTGTTACTAATAATAGCCAAAATCACTTGAATCATAACTTTTTCAAATTGTTTGTCCAAGTCGCATTTATTCAGTCATGAAACATAATACAAATGCAAAAATAAACTTTATTTGCATGTGGGAAAGTACCAAAAATAGATGCAATACTTCTGGTAAAGTTACATCAAGTTTCTAATTAAGTAGCCAATGTTTCAGTAAACATATTTAAGCAAAATATTATTTACCTTGTCGTAAATTAATACAATTTTTAATAACATCTTGCAAAAGTTACTGTAAAGGTGATTTGGGTTATTTTTAGTAACAAATCCATACTCCAACTGGCGTATAATAGGCCAGTTTGCATATTATATGCAAGTTGTTGATTTTCCCAACCTGTTTACCTGACTTTGTCTGTTTGTTAGGTTTGTATTGAAGCCGTTAGTTAACAGTATTAAATTTAGTCCGCTAAAACTGACCATAATCGCAGACTCAAAAATTCTGATCGGTCACCTGTTCATAAACAGACGACCGATCAGAATTTTTGAGCCTGCGATTATAGTCAGTTTTAGCGGACTATATCAAATTGTGTTCATTCTCTGTATGTCAACACCGTTAGTTGGTTAGTATCGACTAGAACCACTAGTACTAGAGGTGTAACTTATAGAAGCATTGATTGACCAGTTTTGGAGCCCCTAAGGCTGAAATGGATTAGAGCATAGTTAAACATTATACTTTTCGTTGTTTACCAACCGTGTTTAATCTTTACCATACTAGCTAGGACAGTAAGTTTGCAATCACCTCCTATACTCTACAATGTCAACTTAAGTCAATCCTGTTGTCGTCAATACATGATCACACTTATAAGCATCTTCAAGCAACAAGGGTTGCCAGGGGGGGAAAAACAATTATAATTATGGTCTAAATAAAGAAAGCTACATCAGAACATATGTAATTCATATTAACGTAATACACATATTACAAAGTTTCAGTTTGAAATTATTGAGGGGGTTAATATAACAGAGTAATGATGAATTCATTTTTAGAACAGCAGAATTTCCCATGTCATATATGTGTTAATCTCTATGGATCACCAAGCTTCTTCGGACAATATCTCTCCAAATAATTGTTAAAGTATGAGACAATCACATTATAGAATGACTACAACAAATGTTCATACTAAGTTTTAGTTTGATATATGGAAAAATGTCATAGTTATGGTAATTTTACTATTGACTGTGAGTTGCACATGTGTATAACGTGCTTTACAATCAACCAAGCATCTTCACACTGTATCACTAAAAAAATCAAATGTATGCAGGTATATATATGAAGCTTTATGGCGTGCCACATATGTGTATAGGACTTCGCAAAGGTGAATACACGTAGACAGGATTATAATGATACATGCAAACAATTAAAAACATTGTTACACTAAGTTGCTGTGATAGTAAAATCAATAGATAAATGCATATGTGACCAATTAACTGTTGTTTTTTGCTTGTTTTTAGCTAAGGTGTTAGCCGCAAGCTATTGGTATTACTTCAGTTAATGAGCTCAAGATATTCATAAATGCTGTTTTCACACATACATTGTACGCCACTCTAGCGGTAGGCACTGGTACTAAATTGAATCATATACCAGACCTACTGTCTTTATTATGCGTTACTTTTAACTCAAATGCAATTGAATGGCTTGTAAATATCATTCCTTTCCTTGGTAGGAACTTATCATATTATCACAATGTCGTATTCTTTTTGAAAATGCACCCAGTTTATCTCAATCGGGAACTGCCACTTGACTGTAGGTCTTGCATGCTACACGCAACTTCCAGTAAAATACTTCAGTTAATGAGCTCAGATATTCATAAATAAGACATCCGTCACCTACCAGTAATACTAAGCAAATTAAACTGCAAATAAAATCCATTACCACAGACTCAAGTTCACTCAAAAGTCATTGGATGTAATCTTATTCTTTGTTAGAACTAAGTATCCTTCTACAACTTCGTATTTACTCTTGGAACTGTCACTGGAATAAGCCATATGACACGGAAATACTTTTCTCTGATTGGCTAAAGTTTGTGACTATCCCTGCCTACATTTATATATTGCTTGGTCAGAGCTATGAAGCGGTCCTGTTCCAACTAACTGAGGAAAATAAAAAGTGCTAATCTGTAATAATATATATGGTTCACGCCTGTTTCAGTGCTTTTCCACATTTCTCTGTCTCTGTTTTTTAGGCCATGCATTGCTGTGAACAGACCATTAGTAGGAGTTAAAAACTCTGCATCCTTACAAACATGTTTTAAAAATTAGTACACGTTGTTTGCTTTATCAAACGCTGACTATTCCTGCCAACAAACTGTACTGAATTTGAAATGCTGCGTGTGTGCAGCCAATTCATAGACAACGGTTACCGTACAATGATCTATTTGAAGGTTTTCACTGAAGAGATGCTGAGAAATTTGTACAAAAGTAGAAGTAGTATATATACAGATAGATTACGGGACGATTCAGACAAAGACATTACTTAATATTAATTATTAATAATATTAATATTAATCTCAGATTAATGAGGCAGTTCTGAGGATGAAGGTTTCGGTGAAAGGATCTGTACTTCTCAAGGACAAAAACCGCTTGCTAACAAATTTTAGCACCAGAATCACCAACAAATTCCCTCCTCCTGTTATTGCCATTCTTCGAGTTATTGATCATATTATCAATTATACATCATATATGCTGTCATTGTCACTGACTAACTGTCATCAATCACTGGGTTGGGGTAACATGGAAAGCTGTAATCACTGTCCCGCTCAAAACACACATGGGACACTGTACGGCTTCATATGTAAACCTGTATACTGCGAAAATTATATTGTCATAACTTGATCAATTTTCTATGTATTGAAGTGAAACCTGGCTTATAGGTGTATTATAGCCATTATTTTTTTTTAAAACATATACCTTCTGCTGTTGTTAATGTAGTTTAATGAATATTTTAGTGAAGCAGTTTGAAAATGCTTGGTTGACAGCTGTGAAGATGCATACATATGTGACATGCCATCAATAATCAAAATGAAATTCATCCTTACTCAACTTATTTTACAAACAATTAATTGAAACTTTGTATATTAATTTGTCTTTTTGTCATATGAATGATACATATTCTGATGTAACTTTGGATATAAGTTATTTAGAGAGTCATAGCCTGAAGATGCTTCGTGACCTGTACAAATTCTACATTGAATTGATCATAACTCAGTGTTTTTTCCACATGTTTACAACTGAAACTTGGTATTTAGATGCATTATAGTTATTAAAATAGCATGTCTTATGGTAATTATACTATAAAACCTTGTTATAATGCCATCACATTTACCTAGTTCTACTGTAAAACCTTGTTATATAATGCCATCACATTTACCTAGTTTTACGGTAAAACCTTGTTATAATGCCATCATAATTATAATTATGCAGTTTTACAGTAAAACCTTGTTATAATGCCATCACACTTACCTAGTTCTACTGTAAAACCTTGTTATAATGCCATCACACTAACATAGTTCTAATGTAAAACCTTGTTATAATGCCATCATAATTATACAGTTTTACATTAAAACCTTGTTATAAAGCCATCACAATTATCTAGTTCTACTGTAAAACCTTGTTATAATATGCCATCACATTTACCTAGTTCTTCTGTAAAACCTTGTTATAATATATTTAATGCCATTACATTTACCTAGTTGTGCTGTAAAACCTTGTTATAATATATTTAATGCCATTACATTTACCTAGTTCTGCTATAAAACCTTGTTATAATATATTTAATGCCATTACATTTACCTAGTTCTACTGTAAAACCTTGTTATAATATATCTAATGCCATTACATTTACCTGTAAAACCTCAAAACCCCTTTCCGTAGTAATGAGATTGGGGGGATGGGTCGTCTTCTGAAATAAGGCTGTCTGTCTGTCCATCTGTATATGGAAGTTGGTCTGGAGCACTGCTGTCTATCACTTCCCACAGAATTATTATGAAAGATATCAGAAATTGGCATAACTTTCAGGAAAAAACATCAAAAATCGCAAACAGGTCCATCTACATAATTGAACATGATTACCTACTTTTATAAGTATATGGTACTGATTCTAAATATCAAGGAATTAGGGAAAGGTGTAGTACTTTGGAACACAGATCTACCCGTAAGTCATGTTCTGCTGCCATCATGTTGAAGCTCTGGTGGAAACCCTTTCATCATTATTCCAGCATATGATGCATGTGATGCTTATAAAAGAGTTGCATTAGATAAAAATATAATATTAGTCTTTGATTATAACTACGGTACCACAGGGTATCAGTAATTAAGTCCTTACCTTTTTTCAGAAACAATTATTAACTAAGAAATAATAAATACAGTTAAAATTATGTTAACAAAACCAAAATGAACTTTTGTGTTTTTACATTTCCAGGATGGCAAAGTGTGATCAAAGTGGGTGCCATTGACTGCTCTAGCTCAGGAAACCTTCGTATCTGTAGTAACTACAATATCAAAGGCTACCCCACAATGAGGGTAATTACATACTACCTAATTCATGTATCTACATGTACTTCACGCAGCTTATACCGTATTCACCATAATAAAGCTCTCCTCCCCCTATAAGTGCCCCTCCCAAGTTTTTGGGAGAAATCAAAATTATATTGACTCTCCCAGACCTGACAAGGTTCAATGATTAATAGTACTTGCATATGAAAGTCAGAGATCTATGTCTGGTAATCATGACTTCCAACGAAGCATGAAGCAGATAATCAACAGTTCTATTTTCAAAGCTCCAGCTGGCACACTAGAATGTTTATTATGACCTTAGGTGATGACAACTGAATGAATTTGCACAATTTTTTCTGAAATAATTCATGACACATTTTACTTTTTACCTGTATGTAAATAAAACATATAAAGATAATGCTTTATGATATATACACTGTACTATGGGACAGTTTAGAGAATGTTGGTTTGCCTTAACCAAACCCTGGATGTTCTGTTGTTGTTTTTTTCGCCTGTTTTAAGTTAATCTTTAGAAACTGTAATTACATTGACAATTTTCACTGTCCTGGTTGGTCAGATTTAGGCAAACAATCAATATTTTATTATAAGCTTGCATTTCAATGTATTGATTTCTTTTCTCAACACTCAGCCCCCATCTCCTGTTGCCCCTCCCCCCCCCCNTTCAGCATGGTAAACATTTTGGAATCAGTTTGAAAACATTTCATTTTAAAGTTGAGCGCCCATTTGAAACAAGCTTTCTTGATTGAACCTGTCAATATTCAACCTGCAGTATTGTTTCCACGATCACAAAAGCAAGGTGTGCAGAACTCACCAAATCCACAGTAAATTAGATAGGAGCTAGCGATTGGGAAATTTTAATTTTCTCCCAAAAATTTCCACTCAAATTAATGATGCCATCTTGGAAAGGAATACCCGGTTGAGATATAAATGTTTGCCAATCAGATTAGAAAATCGGGATTTTGTAGACCTGACCTGTCATTGCATTTTCAAAGTGTAGCCAATCGGAGAGTAGAAAAAGTATACGGCAGGTAAACCAGTGTTTCACATACAGAAATTAGGGCGTATGCCCCTTTATATTATTATGGCCCTGTAATCATTTTTTTTAAGTAACAAAGTGTGTCTGAAGGTATGAGAATATAGTTTGATGGATTGCTCTTAATACCTTACTTTGTTGAAACTGTTTAAATAATTGTGGTGTGAGCGTAGAACTATAATTGTTTTTTTCTGTATCTCTAGCTGTTACCATCATACTCCTCCAAGAATGAGACTGGGGAGGAGTTCCATGAACAAGACCCAAAAAAGCTAAGGGAAAAAATGGTGGACTTTGTCACTGAAATCAGTGGCTTTGGCACAGGGAATTGGCCCAACCTTCTCCCACTAGAGTAAGTGCTATTTCTTATATAGGTGCTACATGCCAGTGATTTTTGCTGAATTAAACATGTATAGAGCCAAGATCAAGGTCAGCTTTGATAGCAGGCTGGGGTGAGTATGAGCACAGGTTATTATTGAATTTAAATTATTCCTATCAAGTTCAAAAAAGCCTAAGGTCATGATATTTGACCAATTTGCAGGGTGGCAGGGGTTAATTATTCCTAAAGCTTCAAATGACTCCTTCTAAAGATCTATAAGGTCTTGGATAATGCTTGCCCTATACGTTGATGTGATGAAAGACTACAGGTCTGTTTGTATAAATTATCTTGACCCACTTCAAAGGTCATTGTGACTATCCAAACCACCTGAGAATACCTCTGTCTCACTAATGACTATTATAGATTTTATGAACACAAAACTCCTCTATATGAATAGTGAAATCAAACTTCAACTGATGCAGGCGCTGTAGACACAAGACAGCTATAGATATAAATAACAAACTTTACTGTTACAGGTCACTGGAGCACATTTGGGGTGAGGCCAAAGACCACCACAAACACGTTGCCCTTATTTTTGAGGAGGAGGATTCCTATATAGGTAGAGAGGTAAGACAACTTTAAATACAAACAAACCAGTTATATATATGTAATTGTGTGCATTACCTAAAACAGCAGACCTTTCTCAAAGTGGATTATCCAATAATTTTATTTTTTGTTTCTTGCAATAAGTAAGCATACTTGCCAACTCTCCCTTTTTATATTAGGAGGCAGACTCCTGATTTTAGACCCTTAATTTTAGTATAATTTTCAACTGGTGAAAAACCCTAAACATGTCATTTAAATGTGTTATTTTTGTCTCCAAGAGGTAAATACGCAGAATTCATTCATGTTTTAATTTTAAGCATGCATAATCTCCCTATTGGAAACTTCAAAAAGTTGGCAAGGATGAGTTAGGGGAGGGAGATCAAGAGTAACACTACAATCAGGATTTTAATCCACCTGATACTATTTTATCTGGAATATTCCTATTAACGTAATTTTGATGGTACTTTGCACATATCTTACCTATCACACTGCAGTCCATGTGCGACATTCATGTTGTTACAATTCATATTAAGAGAGTTATAGCCCTTGGAACTTGGTAGAGTTTACTATCATTATATATATGAAACTTACATAAAAATAACTACATGATTTTCATTTTGACTGATTTTAAATAGTGAATAAAGTTCAACTTAGACATTAGTAGAATAACTCATATTTGTTGGATATTGTTTAATAAAAGATTTGAAAACATGTTGTTTTTCCTAAAAATATGGTAAAAATTGACAATTATTAAAAAAACAACATTACACTGTGATGTCGCCAAAAAATCTCCCTACTTAAAATCCAATCTTCCTATTTTGTGTTCCAAATGCATCACATGTATGTAGGTACCTGATGCATTTTTATATCATCTTCACACAGGTATAGTTCTTTGGCTAATAGCTGTGTGAGCAAATGTATGTATATGGATAACTGGCCTGTCTTTTACTTTGAATATAATTTTGATTGTGTCATGGTAAATTCAAATATAAAATGATCTGCCAATATTTACTGAGGTGGTGTATTATACATTGTAATGTAGTGTGTAGGTGATGGTGGTGTATTACACAGTGTAATGTAGTGTGTAGGTGATGGTGGTGTATTACACAGTGTAATGTAGTGTGTAGGTGATGGTGGTGTTTTACACTGTGTAATGTAGTGTATAGGTGATGGTGGTGTATTACACAGTGTAATGTATTGTGTAGGTGATGGTGGTGTTTTACACCGTGTAATGTATTGTGTAGGTGATGATGGTGTATTACACAGTGTAATGTATTGTGTAGGTGATGGTGGTGTATTACACAGTGTAATGTAGTGTATAGGTGATGGTGGTGTATTACACAGTGTGATATATTGTGTAGGTGATGGTGGTGTATTACACAGTATAATGTAGTGTGTAGGTGATGGTGGTGTATTACACAGTGTTATGTATTGTGTAGGTGATGGTGGTGTATTATACAGTGTAATGTAGTGTATAGGTGATGGTGGTGTATTACACAGTGTGATATATTGTGTAGGTGATGGTGGTGTATTATACAGTGTAATGTAGTGTATAGGTGATGGTGGTGCATTACACAGTGTGATATATTGTGTAGGTGATGGTGGTGTATTACACAGTGTAATGTATTGTGTAGGTGATGGTGGTGTATTACAGTGTAATGTAGTGTGTAGGTGATAATGGTGTATTACAGTGTAATGTATTGTGCAGGTGATGGTGGTGTATTACACAGTGTAATGTAGTGTGTAGGTGTTGATGGTATATTACACAGTGTAATGTAGTGTGTAGGTGATGGTGGTGTATTACGCAGTGTAATGTAGTGTGTAGGTGCATGTGGTGTATTATACAGTGTAATTTATTTTGTAGGTGATACTGGACATGAGTGGGTACAAGGATGTGTTGCTGAGACGGGCCCTGAAGCCACTCATGATCAAGTTTGGAATTAATTATTTTCCCTCGCTGTACCTCCTTGATTCAAATGGGATGTATCAACAGCTGGCTGAGTGAGTATATATACTGCTAACTTTGAGGTCAGTTGGTTGAAAATCAAGGTCACTGATTTCTTACATTACAGGTATACTCAGTGAAAAATAGAAACGAAAGTTGATAGAATTCCTTATTTTGATACATTTGTATTCTACTTACCTGTAGTTTCAATTTTTTCATTTAATATTTTTCCTTAATTTGTCATAAATCACCAAAAAAATACTGCAGTGAAATAATAAATTTGTTGTTAGGGTAGGCTTACTTGAACTTGGTTTATAAGTCTCATGTTTATTACCACGTATGATCACCAGCTGCGCAGAAAAGAGCATTTAAGCATTGTGGCATTTATCTTGTCAACTCACATAGTTCAGACGGAAATCTTCGGTAATTTTTATGATGGAAACAGAAGCACTAGGAAATAATGTTCAGCCTGATTATTGCTGCCTATGAGTCGATCATTCATAAAACAAGTGTACTTTGTGTATTTGTGTATTTCATGCCCTTGGAGCGTACAATCTTGTCCTGAGGATGGGCCTACTAAAACTATCTAATTTCTCATTTAGTAATGAATAGGTTATTTGAATGTTTTTTTAGGGGGGTTTTGTTGGTGAATTTAATGAGTATGCTCCATTGTGTACATAATTATTTCCATTTTTTGTCTCCACTATGAAAAGTAACTAGTTTACAACTCCGGTGACTGTTAAGACCTTTGGGCCTATGGTTTTATAGTAAGAACCTTGTGTTTTAAATTTCGATTTGCTCCCCTGAAGACTTGTTCGATAGTATCAAGTAATTTTCATTCCAGCGAACACTGGCCTCTAAATGATGTATCACTGATGTGTTTGTGGTATTGCCTGAGGTAAAGCAGTTGTTCTGACTAAAATGAATATTTAATTAATGAAGTTTTTGCTGAAAGTGGATATAACCCCCAAAAAAAGCTAGTCATACATTATCATCAGACTGGCAAATACTGCGTTGTATATGCTAGAAGTTGGTGACAAAGGGTTTTTGAGCTGTGTCACCTCCTTCTTCACAGGTCTATCTGTATGTCGCAGTTTTCTTTATATACCTATTAATACATCTAACAGTTCTGAAGGACTGAAAGGATTACATAGGTTGTTCATAAGCCAGGAGAATACAACTTGATATAAATGAAAAGTGTGCCTGCAGAGATCACAGATACGTTGCCAAACAAAGGAAATCATTAAAAAAAGGACTTCCAAAATATGTATTAACAGATTTTGACTGAATTTGGTATAAAATATCTCTCGACCAGGGGAGGCCAACCTGTAGTCAAACGGGAAAAGGCCCACTAGTAATTTGATATGAGTCATCCGTAGGCAAAGGGGTTCAGTTTTGTAAATTTTCTGCACACTGTTTCAAAAGAACAACATGTCTATTTCTAAGGAATTGTCTTAGTTTGTGATGCTTGTATGATAGACTATGTTTTGGCTCACGTGATACAAACTCCCACAAACCAGCTTAAAATCATCTTAGGGTTGTGAAACATTCATTGAAACATTAATACTAGTGATGATAACTTCCTGTTCAGGATAATAATATGGGGTATTGACATTTATCTCTACAAAATCCCTTTATACTAATTTATTCAAGCTTCAGAGGTTAAAGCATCAGGGATATGGTTATAGGATAAACACTTTAGACAGTAGAATGATTAATGAAAGATTTAAGTTTCATAAATATGAGCACACGTATCTTACAGAATGCAGGTTGATAACTGTGACACTACAAGCACAATATTGGACAAAATGAATTGTTTGAATATTCTTGCATGTATGTACATTCAAATAGTGATTTTTTTTCTCTCGAATTGTTGCATTTTCAACCTTCAGTGGATTATTTTACTGTGTTTTCCAAACATTTAAAAATCCAAACAGCTAAAAGATTTTCAATAATTTATTTCAAAAATGACAGTTGATAATAAAAATATAAAAGAAAACCATTAGGATTTGAATGGTTTGCGTGTATTTTCAATCTCTAGCTGAAACCTAGTGATATAACTCATTCATTTTACTCCGTTGACAGGAAGGGTACACGAAGGGAGCAGTTTAAGGATGCATTGCTCATTATTCGGGGAGGACAGGACCCAGAGGAGGAAGTCGACAAGGGAGGATCAGATCATGTGGTGGAAGAGCTGCTGGATAAAGATGACGGAGAACAATTACAAGTAACCACCAGGTACATAAGTCTGTCTTTCTTGTAGTTATATAGTAAATACACAAAATAATGTTTCTTTGTACAAATCAGAAAGAAAGTAAAAGTTCAACGATTTTGTAGTTGCCATGGCAGCATCATGAACATGTTTTCATCAATGGGTATGACCTGTGAAAAGGTTACCGGTAGATCTGATTTCCAAAATGGCTGTCATGGCATCCATGTTTGAAAAATGGATTTAATATTCTAGATATAATCTCTATCCTCATTGCACGGTCATGACTAGTCTCAGCCGTGTACTGTATCTAACCTGGAGTTGTTCCTGAATGAAAACTGGTCCACCATGACAACCATATTGAGATCATTTTCATCTCTACCAGCAAAAAGTCCTATTGACACAGGATCTTTAGCATGGAATAATGAAAACATACGTTTGTCCCCCAACAAAGAATTGCCTTAAAATCTTCAACTGTAAAACAAATCCTGCCCAATATATGTAGCAAACTGGTATGATGTGAGGTAAAGATCATCTATCACACAGAAGTGGCCATTATCTTTACGAATCATCTTTGCCAGTTTATGTTGCTTTCATACATTGAACATTGACATTAAACTGCATAAGGACAGCTTTACTTCCCAAACTATTTGAGACAAAACCTGAGAAATCTCAAAAGTTTTAAAGCTCATTTGATCACTGTGAGTATAAACACTAAGCTTCTTCCCCTGATACGTTAGCAGAAGGACGGTCTACTTGGTCATTGTTAGTTTGTGTTGTGTTACAGACTTGGTGTGTACATGCAGGACCTGGAGTCGACCGTGACATATCTTCTCAGACAGGAAGTGGCCATACATCGTAACATGAACGAAGACAGTGTGACAGCACTTAAAACGTTTCTGCTTGTTTTGGCAAAGGTAAAAATTGGCATTGTTTCATAGGTGTTTGGAATAACTGTGACTGAATTGATTTAAACTTACGTTTTTGTAACAAAAAAAATATGAAAAGTGATGGTGAAGACTTAATTTTACCTATTTGCCATAATAAATATGTGGAAGATTTAATGACTGGCCTGGAGATGGTAAATGAAATACAAGTACATAACATGAACAAAGTTATCAAATATATATTATATTGGTACAAAAGAATACGTAGTATTGGGCCTCTTTATACAAACTATTTTGCTGAGATTTTAATTGCTTCATGAAAAAGTTGACATAAGGGTCTTTGGTACATCAGAAATATCTTCTTTGTAGCCATTTCAATTCCACAGTGTCTAGTCTTTACAAAACTTGTTTAGAAACAAATTGTCAGCATTCAAATTTTGTACAAAGCCATTAGCCAATGGTCAATAGTCTTAACTAGGTATAGGTAAGTAAAAAAGACATCAAAGCAGTGTTTATAATTTGTGTATTTTTTCAGACCAGGAACATAAAACCTATACATGTAGTATATAAGCACTATACCTTACTTCAGTAGAAGGGAAACACTCAAGGTCAGCTACAATCTGTTAACCCAGGAGGTATTTCTAGTGATACTGTATATCTGGACATTTTTATCGCAGTGTCATTTTTGCCTCTTTTGCTCTCCATATTGAACATATCTTGGCAGCAAATATTTACACACAACATACAACATATTTATGTAAAGTCATTACTTGTGAAAGGTGAAATTGATGCTGGGTGAATGTGGATTTTGACTGGGTGAGAGTTTACTGGAATACAGTATTACTGTTAATACTGGTGGACTATTTACCCTAATGGTTTGACAAGTCTGGAACACAGTATTACTGTTAATACTGGTGGACTATTTACCCTAGCGGTTTGACAAGTTGTTGCAATGAAAACTCACCTGTACATATTCCTTCAGTATTTCCCGGGGAGAGAGGAGGTGAAAGGATATTTGTGGCGTATTCACACCTGGCTTGGAACTGTCAATGAGGAATTATCTGGTCAGAACTGGCTCCGAAAAATAGAAAGTTTCCAGGTAAAAAACAAACTATAATATATTTGGTTATATGATATGATATTTGATAGTTTAGAAAAATAAAACAAACAAGACACTCTTTCTTAAGGACTTGATTATTTAGAAAAATAACATTTTAATAACATGAATTTTTATTTTGTAAATAACAAATGTTCAGAATCTTGATGCAATTGTTTTTAAGTCTACCATTGTAAGTTATTCATACTATCGTAGTGACAACATTTTTTGTAACAGGTTTTTGGTTTTAGACCAATATTATATTCGAAAGTGGGTGTTTTACAGTATTTCATGACTTTCTTTTTGTGATAGACACAGGAGACATACCTCCCAGACAGGATTAAATGGATTGGTTGTGCGGGCAGCAAGCCTGAGTTCCGGGGTTACCCATGTGGCTTGTGGACACTGTTCCACACTCTAACAGTAAATGCCTACAGGATTGAGAAAAGCAGTAGGTATATTTATTCTCATAAAGCAAGCCTGTTGACAGGTGCCTTTTCAAGGATTTACTTTTATATTCTGAAAAATGTCCTCAAAAATCCTTTGCACTAAATTGATTAGAATCAGGAAAATGAAACAGTACAGGAGATATAGAAAAATAATACAGGCTCTCCTTATAATAAAAGCACACACAGTAAAGGAATGTTGGATTTCATCTTTTATGGCTTTTCAACTGAATCTAATTTCAGGTGAGAAGTTTAACCCAAGGAGTGTACTTGACGCTATCGCTGGATACATAAAACATTTCTTTGGCTGTTCAGATTGCACTCAACATTTTCTGAAAATGGCAAAAAATATTGACAATGAGGTTAAATATTTGAATGAATCTGTGCTGTGGCTATGGCGGTCACATAACCTTGCCAATGAGAGACTGAAAACAGACTTTTCCACCGACCCTCATCACCCGAAGGTCCAGTTTCCGTCGGAGGAGATGTGTAAACAGTGTCACAGTGTGCCAGCAGCCGATCAAAAGTTGGACTGGAATATTCCAGTAGTTTTTAATTTTTTAATTGATTTCTTTTCAAAGGATAAAATAATAAGCATTGAAGATGATAGTGATGGAGCAAACTCAGATGATTTAGTGAATGATAAAAATAAAAATAACATGGATTGGTGGGAAAGAAAACAGAGAAAAAAAGATATTGAAAAAATATGGGACTTACGTGAGTCCAAAAAGAAAACAAAGCAGCAAAAAGTAAAATCTGTGTCTTATCAAAAAAATAAGAACAGAGTAAAGGTATATGGAAAGTATGAGATGAATGAGTCTCTGGTGAGCGAGGAGAATATAAAAACTTCGTTTGGATTCAGTCATATCGACCTTGGTATGTGTGTGGTGTTTTATATCATGTGTACAGTAATCGTGTTCATCCTCTACTATCACTTTGCAGTCAGGAGATGTAGATTTTCTTCAAAACTTCCACGTTAGATAATATGAAACAATACAGGGGGAGGAAGCCACGTATACACTGCTTTAAAGCTGTTCGATGATGATGATAATTCATTGTCTGCCGTCCACATAGGAAATGTACCCCAGTTTTCAGTAATATCTGTGCAATAGCTATTCAGCTTTAATAGATAGTGTTATAAACATAGTTTTAATTATTATTTCAAAATATTGAAAACATTTAAGTGTTTTAATTATTGTTTTAAGATACTGTATTGAAAAAATTTAAGTGAAAATATTTTTATCGCATGGTTAAATTCCCAAATAAAAAAGAAATCAAATCTTCAAATTTTTATTCAGATTTCCTTCATTAGATTCCTTTTAAGAGAGAACTCCTAATTCTTTTTAATAAAAATCACCTTTTATTTTTGTGACTTAATGTTGAAAAGTATTTGTTTAAAAAAAAATAGAGTTCTCTGTATGTCGTCAAACCAAAAGTGACCCTGAAAACTTACGAGATTGGAACGACAATTTTTTTAATGTAAACGTATACAACTGAACTCCCATAGATTCTATTTCGTTAAGACACCTGAACTCTTATAGATTCTATTTCGTTAAGACAACTGAACTCTTATAGATTCTATTTCGTTAAGACAACTGAACTCCAATAGGTTCTATTTCGTTAAGACAACTGAACTCCTATAGATTCTGTTTCGTTAGAGTACTTTATGACATGATTCAAAACTCAGATTTTATGACCACAATGCACAGTAATAGAACTTATGTTTACTTGCAGGCTTCTATTTACATAAATGTATGCTTGATAACAAAATTAACTCTGTATACCCGGTAAGTAGACAGAATATTGTACTGTGCCTATTGTACATAATTACAAGGTCTGAACCAGATACTGTTTTATACCCTTTAACATAAATGGCATTGCAAGCAATGTTTATTCAGTAAATGATAAATGTTATGAAAATTAGACAGGGATTGAAAAATGAGTGAAAATTTCAACCATGAATATTGGTCCATTTCAAATTGTCCATGCAGTTCCAATCATGATAAAAATACATCAGGATAACTGGTGTTTTATTAATATCATCAAATATTTGCTTTATAGGACAGGTGTAGGAAGGGTGGGATGTTTATGATCTAGAGGACTACTTTCAAGGTCAGGTGAAGGGATTTGAACCTCAGTTAGCACAAACCATCAATGTGTCAATGAAATTTGACATTGTATAAATGAAGGATATAGTTCACCTGCATCCCATGTCTCAGAGGGAAAAGATCCAATAAAAATGGAAAATAGGGCAAATGGAAAATAGGGCAAATTCTTTTTCAGCTCCTTATGTAGCTGCCATGGTCTAAAGTGAGGGGAAACACTAATATCTAACTCAGAAATGAAACAATAGACAGATGAGCAATACAGGCCACATAGGCCTGTTGTTTATTGTATTTACAGATGTTTTGATCATTCCAACATCCACTTCCCTGACATTGTTATTGTTTCCATTATTTCCAGTGCTCAACCTCATAAATAGATAGGTACCTTAATTCCCCTAAAATACATTATTCTGATTGTGTTAAACTGTTACATAATTGCTGTTACACAATCGTAATATGATTAAAATCAAAATAATATAAACCTGTTTTTAATTTATAACAGGACAAAGTTCAGACACGGTGACAGAAAAGAGATCTCATCATGATAAATAACATTTGTATTTCATGAAACATTGACACAAGATACATTCCAAATCTCTATCAGCGCTTTTTGACCTCAGTTTAAGAGGTTTTGATTTTATTATTTTTTAACTTCTACATGTGATGCTGCAGACAGTTTTATGGCTGTGGTTTTTAATCATGTTATATGTGCCATTTAGTGAAGTTCACTCTTTGTTATGACTTGTAATACTATTTTTGCCCACGTGCCTAGCTTTTTAAATAAGCACAATTTCTGATCCTGCTGACTCTATATATATATGCCACTCTTTGAATTTGTCTGCTCCTTTAACCCTTTCACCACTATAGACCATAATGGACTGATCAAGATCAGTGCATGGAAGAGCTTACTAAAGTTACATAGGGGTGAAAGGGTTACAGGACAAAAAGGGAAGGATGTGGAAATGTGTTTGTATCACTGTAAATAGGTAGAAGTTTAACATTTTAACTGACTTTGTACTCAGTTATGCTGAATATGTTCACCAACAAACAATGTCGGAGAAGTGTGACAGGATATGTTTGAGGCTAGTGATAAAGAGATCAGATCTGTCCTTGTATGTTACGATTAGTCACAATTTTTGTGTGATATGTGATTTATTTAATGTTGAAATTGTGAATTCTTGATTGTCACAATTTTTTGTTACATCAGTCTACATGCATGTACTTGTTGAAAACGTATATTTTATTTGATAATCCGTTTTTCTGATTGTCTCCCCTGGTTCGTGTGTTATACAATACCATGACTTATTTCATTAATTTTAACGATGTAACGTAAGATATAGTGAGTTTTGAATATTGTTTAACATGAAACTTTTTCTGTGTATTTTACTGTCGGTTCCTACCACTAAAGTAAACCCGCAAATAGAAGTACAACTGAATTTCACAACCACTTGTCACCTACAAACATGTCCTCGAAAAGTACCTGCAAATGGTCCATGTTAATGATGTTATGCAACAATTTTCATTAAATATTCTAGTCCAACAGCTCATCAATTCATGTTATAAACAATCTGTTCCACTCTGGAACCAGACTTAATTTCCCTGTTGCCCATCTCTATGATTCAAACACATATCATCCAAAGAACCTATCTATCATAATAGCTTATAAATACAAATAGCTACTTATAACCAACAAAAGATTAAATTAAAAGAATATGTAACAGAAACATACCTGCTATAAAAGACAATTATCAGTACTGACCTGTAAGAGATACATCTCGGTGATAATCACTGGCTGGTTAGACTTCGTACAGTCACATCACACAGCCACTATAAGTCACATCACACAGCCTCTATAAGTCACACCACACAACCACTATATGTCACATCACACAGCCACTAAGACACATAACACAGCCACTATAAAACTCACATCACACCGCCACTAAGTCACATCACTCAGCCACTATAAGTCGCTTCACACAGCCACTAAAAGCCACATCCCACAGCCCCTATAAGTCACATCAGACAGCCACTATAAAACTCACATCACACCGCCACTATAAGTCACATAACACAACCACTATAAGTCACACCACACAACCACTATAAGTCACATCACACAGCCACTATAAAAGTCACATCACACAGCCACTAAGTCACATCACACAGCCACTATAAGTCACACCCCACAGCCACTATGCGTCGCATCACACAGCCACTAAAAGTCACATCACACAGCCCCTATAAGTCCCCATCACACAACCACTATAACTCACCATCAAACCGCCACTATAAGTCAAATCACAAAGCCACTATACGTCGAATCACACAGCCACTATAAGTAACATCACACACCCACTAAAAATCCCATCACACACCCACTATAAGTCACATCCCACACCCACTATAAGTCACATCACAGCCACTATAAGTCACACCCCACAGCCACTATGCGTCGCATCACACAGCCACTATACATCGCATCACACAGCCACTAAAAAAGCCACATCACACCGCCACTAAGTCACATCACACAGCCGCTATAAGTCACATCACACTGCCACTAAAAGTCACATCACACAGCCAATATACGTCACCATCACACAGCCACTAAAAAAGCCACATCACACCGCCACTAAGTCACATCACACAGCCTCTATAAGTCACATCACACACCCATTATAAGCCCCCCTCACCCAGCCACTAAGTCACATCACTCAGCCACTATAAGTCACATCTCACAGCCACTATAAGTCACCCCACAGCCACTATAAGTCACCCCACAGCCACTATAAGTCCCATCACACAGCCACTATAAATCACATCACACAGCCACTAGAAGTCACATCACACAGTGGGGGGAAATCACATCACACAGCCACTAGAAGTCACATCACACAGTGGGGGGAAATCACATCACACAGCCACTACAAGTCACATCACACAGCCACTATAAGTCACATCACACAGCCACTATAAGTCACATCACAAAGCCACTATACGTCACATCACACAGCCACTAAAAGTCACATCACACAGCCACTATACGTCGCATCACACAGCCACTATAAGTCACCATCACACAGCCACTATAAGTCACATTACAAAGCCACTATAAGTCGAATCACACAGCCACTATAAGGCATAGAGCAATGGTCTTAATTGATCCCTACATATTAAAAAAAACACCACCATTGATTTATCAAAACATAGAAATATCTACATGTATTTTACTTGTTGATTATGAAATGGAAGATCTTGACATCAGTTGCAGTTGCTGATTTTTAACTCAACTTTGCCTTAAGCTGCATGATAAATTGATATTGTTTTAAAACACATGTACATGTTAAACAAATTTTTAAAATACTATGCAGATTATCTTGTCAATTTGGAAAAGCAGTTTTGCTAATTTTTTTAACATAAAAAAGCAAGCTTTAAATTTTCAATAGCTTTACCATGATATGAATATAAGATTTTGAATAGCTTAGTGGCATTTTTAGGTTAAGTTTTTTATGGGAATATTTTAACCCAACATCCCCATAAAACAATTCAAACCACAAGGGAATTGAAACAATTACTTTCAAAATCTGTATCGACCACACCAATGTTCACATGTACATAATATAATGTTCTAACATTGACTCCAATATACACATGTGCCGCGGAACATGTTAAACCAATACCTCTAGGCCCAGAGTTGATAAACAGGGGAAATTGTAAAAGAACTCAATGTATGACAATGTCGATATTGTGCTGACAAAATCAAACTTTTTATTGTAACATGTACTTAAGCTAGTCCTCTCATTCATTGTGAAGAGGCCCAATGCATCTTTATATGACTTAGGAGGTTGTAAGGATGTTAAAACCCATACAATACAAAACCTCTCATTCATTGTAAAGTGTCACAAAGGGCATTGATCAAAACACTTTTAATTTCATCATTTCTAAATGTCTGTCTGATAAGATTTATAACCATTCTAAGTAGACTGATATATTTTGTTTCCTCCAAAAGTAAATTTTTAAATGTTGTATAA